CCCCAGTGTTCCTAATTCTTCGATGCATTCCCATACCAGCCTCGACGTAACTTTCTGACTATATATGGCCTTAAGTGCCGCTTGGCGTCTGACATTATTTGAATATGCTGATTTTCGACAGCTCTTTCATTGTTTGTTTTTGCACATTGCAAAATTGCGTATACCTCGGCCTAAAATACCGAAGAATGTATTTCTATAGCATAGCTATGGTTAGTATGAGGGTTTTTGGAGAATACTCTCGCCCGGCGCCTTCCGCAGTCTTAGACCCGTCTGTATACCAGGTTTGTTCCTGTCGTTGGGCATTGGGCTCCCTTATGGTGATCTTTGCTCTTTCCTGTAATAAAACCTCAAATAAAGTATTAAAAGAGTACCTCTTGGTTATGTGGTCTGATCTCATGTTTAGCACGTCTCCTGTCACTAACCTTGAGATACTTATGTGACCTGGCCTAATAATATTTCCCAGAGTATTCTCTTATCTGTAAGCACCTAATCTTTCTCCCCTTGTATCACATAGTGAAGAGGTGGGAGTTCTATTAGTGCTTCCATTGCAGCTGAGGGGTTGTTTTTATTACCCCCGTTATTCCGAGGCAGGCAAGTCTTTGTCCCTTGCTTAGCCTCGTTATTGCTTTCCTTTGCTGTGTCTTTGGCCACCATATCAAACCTGCGTATGTTATTATCGGTCTCACCACCATGTTATAAAGCCAATATACCATGTCTGAATTTAACGCCCTATTTTTTTCCAAAGGATCGCCTTGCCATCCTCTCGCTACCCGTGCCGCTTAACATAGAGTCGATCCAGGACACGCACGTGTCCTCGATTCCTTTGTGTTTGAAGGATCTAATGATCGTTTCAACGGAGGTATTGTCAAATGAACCCTCGATATCCAAGAATGCTCTAAGCATTACCTCCTTCTTTTCCAGTGTGTTCTTCACCCCATTTATTAATTGATGGAGAGCTGTTTCAGTTGATTTTCCTGCACTATAGGCGTATTGGTCTTGGTATATTGGCTTCTGAACCAATATCCCGTCGCTAATATGCCTATCTAGCAGTTTTTCCAAAGTATAAAGGACATAAGACTTATTGGTCTTAGGGACTTTGCCGTTTCCTGTCATATTTTTCCAGGTTTTGGTATAAAAGTTACCCTAATATTTCTCCAAGCTTTTGGTATGTGTCTAAAGGCCAGACAACTTCTGAGTATGTTACAGAGTCTGCTGTATAAAATATCAGGACCTCTTTGTAAATCTCGTCCATGCCTGGTGATTTATATGGTTCGAATGAGCTAATTGAACATTTCAGTTTACCACTTGTTTGACTATTCTCCAATCTTCCCTGTTGGCTCTATTATGAGCTTCCAGTCCATTTAGATTCCGGTTAGCCGGTGTGTGTGCTATGGTTTATGCATCAGGGAAGTGAACCCTTAAGAGTTCCCTTACTGTTTCCTTCCCTGTGATTTTTTACTCCCCCAGTTCATTCTTAAGGGTGTTTATTGTGTGTTGTGTCTCTTTTAAGAGATTTTTTTGGAGCCTGGCACATTCTTGCTATCTCATCACAGTGGCTTCTCCAAGGTTCTCTCTTGACTTTTCGTAAGACTATGTTGTGACAGGTGCGTATGATTCTATATAGTTCACATTCGCCGGTTATTTTAGCCTTATTAAATTTTTGTCTAACCTGTTTCCTTACTATAGCAAGGTCATCATTCCACCATGGAACTTTCCTGATAGAGTTCCTTGCTATTAAGGAATAGGTATCGTTGAAAGTGCTAGTGACTGTGTCATTAAACTCATCCACAGCCATTTCTAGGTCAGTTGTTGTTCCTATCATCTTTCTCATCTTCGGAAGATTACATTCCAGGGAAGCATTGTATGCCTCCCAGTCTATTTTCCTGGGATTTCGATAAGTTTCTTTTGCAATATTACCTTTAATATTGAAGTTTGTGTGTCTGTGATCTGATAAACTCCCTTCGTCAGACACATGCCAGTCTGTAACAAAATTACTCAAGTATGTTGATGCTATTGTTACATCGAGTACCTCCTTTCTGTATTTTGTTATAAAGGTCGGTTTATTGCCTACATTTGTTATGTCTAAATTATTTGCCATAATAAATTGTAGTAAAGACTCACCTCTTTCGTTGGTATCGGTGCTCCCCAGATCCTGTGGTGTACATTTGCATCACAGCCAATGATCATCATCATCTGTATTCCGTTGCGCCTGCAGAATCTCACCAGGTCCTCCACTTCTCTGGTAGATGTTGCTTCAGGATCGTCTGAAGGTAGATATGCCGATCCTAGTATTACCTCCTTCGGTCCATTTCCTGCATCGATCTTGATTCTGATCTGTCAAATCTCTGGAACAGAAATAAGTTAACGGCAGTATTTTTATGCCTTTTTTGACAATTATGCAGGTTCGATGGGTGTCTGTGGATCTGTTATATAGTAACTCTCCACCCAACCCTCGTAAACCTCTCATTATACCGTGTCTAATCCATGATTCGTTTACCAGGGTCACTTCAAACCTCCCATCGCCACTGTAAGTACAGCCGAAGCAGACTTACAGTGCTGGAGGTTGATCTGGATTATCCTGATCCTCGTTAGGCCGCCTTAGGACCCTGAAGGTCACCCTTTTTAGCTTTTAATAGGCCCGGAATTGTGATCTCTCGAGGGCCCCGTACGACGCTTCGTCAATTGAAAAGGCTAGGAGTTGCCCTCTCTTTTCAATTTTCCTGCTCATTAAAAGCCAGTTCGGCGTCTTCAGTTCCGTATTCTGGAGCTGAAGAAGTCTCCTGACTTTTTCAACCTCGAACTCGTCCGGGATGAAAACCAGAACCCTGGGTCTTCTCGGGAGGTCCTTAGATTCAACCACGGTCAACTCCGCACCCTCCCAAAGGTTTCCCAGAGTGCCGACTATCCTCCTTAACCAGTCCGCGGTCTGCTGGTTAGCGCAGGTTATCCAAATGACCCCTGCGCTAAACGATGTTCTAAGGAACTGTGGTGCCTGAAGGGACAGCGTAGAGCCTTTCCACAAGAGTTTCTTGTACCAAGTCTCCTTGTGCTTGGTCTAGGGTTGTATCTGGGTGCCTTTTGTGGATGACAGCCAGTCGGGTGCCCCTCAAAGTGTCGCTGTACGAGCCAGCCGATGCCGGATCATTTCTGGCCCGCTTAGTTCCACTTCTGCGACTCATATCGGTGCCTTTTTATCCCCTTTCTTCGTTTGGTCCTCCCTCCATTAGTTTCGTTTTTGGGCTGCATTCTTGTAGGGATTTTCCTTCGTACACGTTCCTGCAGCCATTTTCCTTTCCTTCAGAAGCTTGTTCCTCCCTGCTCCTAAAGGTTTTTTCATTCTTTCAGCAGGCTTAACCTCTGCTTTTTTTCCCGTTTCTTTTATTTGGGAGCAGTCGTCTGTTTTCACAGATCCTCCTCCCGCTAAGAGGTTAGAGTCCTCTGCTTTCGCAGTTCCTCCTTCCCTTAAATTGTCGGAGTCCAAATCTAACGCAATCTCTCCGACAGTCATGTTTAAGGAGCCTGAGTCGTCTGTATCCGACTCTTTTCCTTGAGTGTCCATTTTTTTCAAATTATTTTTACTTATATTTATTCCCACGAGTATGGGGGAAGGGGTTGGTCCAACTCTGCAGTGCCCCCGTATAGAGTCAAGGCTGGCTTCTTGGGGGGTTTCGCCCAGTTCCCCCAAGGGAACGTTCGTAACCGCATATTAAGCCCTGCGGCCATTTATTCTTAGGCACTTTTCCTTACACCAAGGCATTGGGCTTTGCTGGAGTGCCATTTGGTTAGTCAATAGTGGTGCTTCTTGAAGCATCGCTATTGGCCTTATCCAGTTACCTACCCACAAAGCGGATGTGTTAAGTGAGTGTGCAATCAAGCAATCTAAACTACAAAGCCATGGCTAAGCTACTACCAACCCCACCATTTTAATGGTTACTATTACCACAGGATACTATTACAGAGTAAAGAATTTCCAGGTTAGGTAAGGAAGTAAAATGCGGCATTATACACCTTGTAACAACTAGTAGCTTCCTGATAAGTAAGCTATCAGCTAATGTAGCACAAGTGGAATAGGAACCTTTACTGTTATTATACAATAAAGTTGTCTTAACAGGTAACAGGTTCTAGCGATTCGTTTTTAATGGAATACGGCTGATTTCATTTGGTTTACTAAGGTAGCGCCGTCACCAATCCCAGACTTTAGTTCACCCTTGCCAACAAAAAATAATAAAAAATAAAAGATCTCTCAGTGACATAGTAGAGCAGTTTTGCGATTTTAGCAACTAGTTCTTAGGGATAGGTACATCAGAGTTTCGCAAATGCCTGGAGTATAAGTGCCTGGAGTATTTTCCCTTGAAACTTTCTCTTGTGGAATGTTGGTGAAATATTCCTTGGGTGTCTTCGGGGTCCGTTTGTGGTGTACCTTTGAACTGTACTTTTTGTAATTCAAGTATTAAGGCCCTTCTGTCTCCTTAAAGGACTTTATATACTCTGATGTTTAAATTGGGTATGTGGAATAAGTGGTAGAATTCAAGAAATAACAAATATAGGTAACTATATGAGAAGGGTAGATCTGCAACGAACATCGGACTGCCGATTCTGTAGCGTGTAAGATGAATATGTTGAGTATATTATATGTACCTGCTCCGCTTCTAAGAAAATTAGGTTACGATTTTTGACTTTAAACTACTGGAGTCTACCGACTCTACCAAGACTCACCTAACTCAACTATAGCACTCATCTAAAGGTGTGAACTATAATTTAGGCATTTAGGCATGAGCCACAATGGATCCATCTAAATCCTAGTGGAAGGTGATGTAATCATTCAACTCATCTTTAACCCAACCTAGTTTATGCTTTCTTTACAGTCAGAGTCCGTACGATAATAACATGTAGTAATATTAATACTATTTTTGTCCCTCTCTAGCTTTATTCTTGGAAATATATTTGTAAATAATAGCTTTAGAAATGTGTGTATCTCAGGAATCAGCATTGTTTTTCAGGAAATGGTATGGAAAGTGAGAGCGGAGATGAGTTTAACGAACTTCGAAGATTTACCAATTGTCTTTGAGAACGTAGCATTCAAAAGAACTGTTACATTATCTGAAGACGGAAATATCGAATTTCTTATTAACATCATGAAGGAAACTGGCTATTTCGAAATATATCAATCTGGATCGCTTGTAGTGGTAGGAACCATTCGAGTAATTTCAGATGCAAATAAGGAATTTAAAATTAAACGCATTGAAACTGCTATCAAACCACAAATGGGTAATTATTTTTTATATTAGATTAATATATTATTAGAATATACTTTCTAAAATGTTTTCATTATTCTTTAACTTTAGCCTAATTGAGATTGTAGGTATTCGGTGGTTGCATTCACACCATGTATAAACCCTACATTTGAACATAGTCGGAGCTGTACATTGTGGACTGTAATTTTCACTTATTATCTCTCTGCACTGATTAATAAGAACTTTGATGACAAATACAGCTTTTTATTAACTGCTGAAGAAATTAACATACACTTTGATTATTTACATATACAATTAAAATGTAATTGCGTTAAGTTAGGTTAAACCACAACACATTTGCTTTTAAAAACTGCACGTTTTTGTATTTTTATCAACTTTCGATATATGCTGACAAGCAGGGTACGAAAGGCCGATGGATTCAAAATTTCTGATGTTTACATGGTGAAAGCTAAAGCTCGACTCTCTAAGATTTGGTTCTTTCATCTAACTTCCTTAAAATACGCGACACCCCCTCCCAGAGCTTATAAATGTGAATTAGTTTGAATATTGACGGTCTTACATAGGTCAGCGATAAAGAGCTTTTGCTGGAAATATTTTCTATTTTTATTATGTTGAAGGGAGAGAGTACTGTTACTTAAGAAATATAAGATATCTTCGTTGAAATGTGAAATTGTTGCTAGGCTCATGCTGGCGCAGGTGTTTTTTTACAGAGCCGATTTAGATATGTTTAAATGAGAGACGCATGGCTACGAAATGTAAAAAAAGATATTTTATGTTTGTAATCAGAATATTGTTACGCAGCACCCTGTAGCGTGCTGTGGTCATCATAAGTAAAGGTACGAGTATGTCATTCCTTGTCAAAGAAAAGTCCAGATTGTTCGAGAAGGTCGAGGCAAGCTATATAAGTCGACTACCTGACGTCAGAGAGTCAGTTTTATGATAGACGTTAAACGTTGTTATCAGTTGGAGTTATTGTATCAGTTGTATAATTATTGTTATTAAGGTTTAGTTAAAATAAATTGTGATACCAAAAACCAGCGTAACATTGGTGACAGCGGTGGGATACAAAGTAAAAGTTCATGGTAAATATTAGATCCACTGAATACGAAGCAGTCATGGATACTTCAGGCCCACCAGCATGGTTTTTGAAGATGGAAGAGGAGAGAGTAAGATGAGAAGAGAAAAAGGAAAGGCGTAGGAAGGAAGAAGAGGAGGAAAAGGAACGGCGTAGGAAGGAAGAAGAGGAGGATAGAGTAAGGCGAGAAGAGGAAAAGGAAAGGCATAGGAAAGAAGAAGAGGAGGAAAAGGAAAGGCAAAGGAAGGACGAGGAAAAAGAGAAGGAGGAAAGGTGTAGGAAAGCAGAGGTAGAAATTATGAACGGTTTGCTACAAATCCAGGAAACATTCAAGCAAGAGGTTAGTCAGCTTAAAATTAGAATAGATCTGCTAGAGCAACAACAAGAGCTTCTAAAAGCTAATTTAGAGAAACAGCAAGAGAATTTGAAAGCTAATTTAGAACAACAAGAACAGGCTAGACTAGAGTTGGAAAGGCAAATTAGAACCGAAATGGCTGAGTTAGAAAAGAGAATTTACAGCCAAACTTCAGTGAACAGCATTGAAGCTGCAAACACTACTACCTCGTCTTCATCCATAAACGAACCAAGCCACATTCGAATCCCAGTTTCACAAAACTATACTAGCAAGACCCTCAAGCCACCCACGTTTGACGGTCAGACAACATGGCCAATGGCTAGACCGAGAAAAAGATGACGGCTTCATTAGTAGTGTCACTGCGGGGTCAGGCAGCAACCATTTGACAGTTACTTCCTCAAGAGGAACCCAGTTATTAATCTCTTGTTTAAGCTTTGGAGACAAGATATGGCCAGCAGCATTTGCAACGGGTATTCCAAAGCCAGCTAAAGGTTCGTAGTCAGAAACATAATGGGAGTCTACAGGAATTTGAGGATGATATAAGAAGGTTGATTCATCTGGCCTATCCACAGGTGCCGAAAGATTTCCAAGAACAACTCGGAATACAAGCATTCATTGATGGACTAGAAGATGTGGAAATGCAGCAAGTCCTTCGTCTACGACATCACAAGACGCTGAGGGAGAAACTGATTGCAGCTCAGGAATATGAAGTGGTGAAACTCCTTTCTAGATCTTCTCGCGCAAAAATAAGAAAAATTAAATCCCAGGAAAGTGAGGAGGCCAATAGTAATGCTATTCCCCAACCTACCCTCTCGCAAATATTAAATATCCTGCAAAATATGCAATGAAATAGTCAAAATAAGAACAAAAGATGCTTCAAAGTACCTGTAGAAGCAGAGCTCGTTTTATGAATAGAAAATCAGGGAATGAGGCTGGAAAGTCACATAGATAAATCTTCCGAAGCCCATCACGAAGTCCGACAAGAAATAGTCACAGCAGCTATGCGTCCCGAAAAAATCAATCACCCACACCGAGCCGGTTTTCTAGCAATAATCAGGAAGTAGAGCATCGTTGAAGAAGAAATCACTCTTGAAAGCCTGAGAAAGGAACAGAAGAAAGACAATGATCTGAAAGTTGTTCGAGAATGGCTCAAAAATAAAGTTTCACCTACTTGGCAAGAGATAGCCAAATACAGTGAAGCTATTAAAGGGTAATGGACTCAATAGGATTCCCTGTATCTTCACGATGGGCTATTGCACCGAAAGTGGGAAAGCCCTGATGAAGTACATGTAGTCCGCCAAGTGGTACTGCCAAAATCACATGTCAGAAGTGTGTTGGAGGAACTTCATTGTGGCCATTCGGGAGGACATTTTGGCACTTAAAGAACTCAGGCACGAGTTCGGGAAAGATTTTATTGGGTCAATTGCCGACGGAATTTATCGAATAGGTGTAAAAAATGTGATGTATGCAATAGCAGGACAAATGTCTACGGATTTGCTCGGAACGACTGGAAGCCAACAGCGATAAAGCAGAAGCTAGAATCGACAGGCGTGCCACAGGAACTCATTTTGAGAGAGGTGACCCAGTACGGCTGTACACTCCAAAGCATTGATGAGGATTTTGCCTTAAATCGCAACGGAACTGGGAAGGCCCCTACGCCGTCTTTAAGAAAGATCAACGACCTGATCTACCGCATTCAGCTGTCAGCTGGAAGTAAATCCAAGGTAGTTCACATTGGGAAGTTAACGCCATGCCGCCAGATCCTTCCTGTTAGCTCTAACCGGGTCCCAGTAATCGAGTTATTTAAGGCGAATAACTAGAGAGGAGGGAGCAATGTTACGCAGCACCCTGTAGCGTGCTGCGGTCGTCATAAGTAAAGAACGAGTAAATAAAGAAGATAGAATATTCCCGAAATGTTTCGAAATGTCATTCCTTGTCAAAGAAAAGTCCAGATTGTTCGAGAAGGTTTTAAAAGGTCGAGGCAAGCTATATAAGTCGACGACCTGACGTCAGAGAGCTAGTTTTATGATAGACGTTAAACGTTAATGTTATCAGTTGGAGTTGTTGTATCAGTTGTATAATTGTTATTAAAGTTTAGTTAAAATAAATTGTGATACCAAAAACCAGCGTAATAATATATTTTTATTATTGGCCTAAATTTAATGATTTTTTTTTCAATTGCATAAAGTACTAGAAGTCGTTTCATTCTCTTATGTATTAAATGTAAGATCTCAATGACTACGGTAGCGTTAAGATAATATTCCAGTTATTGAATTAGGGATCTAGATGGTTAAATTATTACTTCACCAAATTTTAGAATGTATGTTTTCCACGTCTCCTGGTATACCCTTTTGTTAAATCTTTTATAAATGTTTGAAGTAAGTAGGTAAATTAAATATATCTTATTTTTCTCCAAAGAGTAATACTAAACTTAATAGAGCTGCCCAAATTAAGTAATTAACCCTAGAATACTGGACATTCGTAAATTTTACTACACGTCTCAGTCTATGTCATTTTTTTTTTACTTCTGGGTCATGTATCGCCCTGCGCTTCTCAGTATCTTCCTGTTTAGTCATTGCCTAGCAGGTGGTGTGTGCAGATAGTTGATGTCTTATCCCTAAATGTGGTATTTTGCCAAGGCGTCGTAAATTTTACGAAAGTCCAGTAGCCAAGTACAGTTTTCGCCCTATCATCTGATACTTTTCATCAGTTATAAAATATAAAGAAATTTTTTTCTTGAAAGGTAAGTTCCTTTTTTTGTTCTTTTGAAGACATCGGTACTGTATGGGAGAAAAAAAATAGAATATGAAATTGAAAAGTCTTCAGGTGACGAAAGCGTTCTAGCGCAGGAAGACAATGTAGAGTATGAATTATAAGATTCTTCAGATGACGGTGAAAGTACAATACATAATAAAGTCAAAGAGAACTTCTTTGAAAGAAATGAATGGCTATAAATGGTCTGCAAAATTGCCTTCAAATATATTGTAAACACTGCAAGCAACCAATATATGATATAATATGCCATGTCTGTGAAAAAGATTAAATGAAGCCTGTTGTTTTATGTGTCTAATACTGCACGATCCTTAGTATTACCTTTGTACTTTATTAAGTAAATGCTATTTCTCAAAATTTGTTATTCTTCGTAAAAAATACGATAGTCCAGTATTAACGTTTATTTAACACAGTCCAGTATTCTAGGGATAAAAAATAGTAGGTACAAGGTGGCGCAAAATAAAGTCCCCTATTTGTTTTTTATATAAAAGTAAGATTAATTAAAAAACAGTCATATTATAAATGAAAAATATTTATTTAAACTCTAAAAATTTGTTTTGTTATGCACTAAAAACAATATCGACCAAATGGCCACCCCAGCATTATTGGAATAATTAGCTCTTTTTAAAGCATTTTTCATAACTTTCTCCAACATTTCAGGTGGTCTTCTGTCAATTTGTTCCCGGATGTTGTCTTTTAATGCTTCTAGTGCTCGAGGATTATTTACAAATACCCTATATTTGAGATAACCCCATAACCAAAAATTCTGATAATCGACGAATTATTTTGATAAAAAAAAATTTACGATTTCGGCACGTTCTCGAGGCGCAT